AATTCTTTAGTATTTTCCTGTCAAACGTATCGTTCGCCCCAAACGTTGACGTCGGGAGCCCGAATCATCACCTGGTTTGTGCGCGATAAACGACAGGTTTTAAGCGTGGGCGGATCCGATGGTAAGTTGAATGCCGTGTGACACGGCCTGCTACCGCGCAGCAGAATAGCAGCAATATCGGTTTACGCAACGCTGAAAGCATTCTCTCCTATTCCAAGCAATATGTGTATAAGCAGGGTGCACACAAGAATGTTTTGCCAATGCAACCTGGTCCGTCAATGAAGATAAGCGGTTGCATTTCAACTGCTTCATCCTCATTGTAGAAGTAGAGTTGAGCATGCGATGGTCGCTGATTATGACTTAGCAGAGGAACGACATAATGATAATACGTTTTATGTTGTTCGTGGCCAAGTGATAAACCTTGCAGGCATTTTTAAGCAGTGCGCACTGTTACCGGGAGTGCCAACAATTGTTGCATCGAATGAAGCGAACCCCTTCGCGCAGCACAGCTGAGCGAAGGGGTTCGATACGAGATGAGTATCCCGGTACTCCGATACGAGATGAGTATCCCGGTAATGCTGAACAGAGCAATCTTTCTTCACCGAGATGATGGGGAACGACTGGAATGTCGTATCCATCGTCCCGGCCACCGCGAGAGTGTGACTTGAGTTAATCCTCTCCAAGAGATCCTAGAGAAACCGGAGGAACGAAACCTGGCATACGTCCTATACGTGGGCTGGTCAAAGAGTTCTCGGAAAAAGTGACTTCTTTTTGTCAGATCCCCATGGTTTTTTCACTGTGTATTCTTATGCATCTTCGTAGTTCTTCCCTTCAATTTCAGATCCCTGCGATAAAATGGATACTCGCAAGCGCGCGCGAAGTGAAACGAGGCAGAGGGTCTTGCTACCCTTGACGAGCCGTGACAAATGCGGGACAATTTTGGTACAGTTCCCCATAGCCTTGTTGGCATCGAGATTTAGGCTAAGGTAACTGAGGTTTAGGACAGAGCGGCGGATCGACGGGGTGAAATGTCAGGTACGCAAAGTGTTAAATTCCCCATAAATTCCAATGCTTATGACTTTTACTCCACCCTGCATATTTATAATACATCTAATACTTTAAATCGAAGAGGTCAAAAGTTGTGGTGGTGGTCGTGGCTGTCACACCAACGTGCGGGCCTACGATGCAATGGGTCATAGGCCAGGCCATCCACGGCCTAAAGCACCAGGCCCTCAAGGTTGCGCTTTTCCAAGCCATCATATTGTGACGAATGAGGATGGCATCGAGAGGCTCGACTGAGTGTCCGGGGTTCGGTGGTCTCATGCCTTCCATCGTCCGTCTCCCACTTTCATTCCGAAACATTTGGTGGCAGCGGTGGGATCGTCCTCCGAGGAGACCGGAGAGTGGTGGAATCCCGGTCACAGGTGAAGTGAAACAACGTTTGCCACTGCAGTTGCGGTGCGAAGTGCCTAAATCGATGCTAGCCGTAATGGCTAAAATCAGTGATGGACAGGAACCAGATGTTCGTAGGGCCGCTGAACGACAAGAGGCAGCGAATGCTGAGCTCCGGAATAAGAGAGCCGTGCAGCCTGCTGAGCAACTTTATGCAAGGAACGCAGCACTCATGTGTCAAAAGCCGGGGGGCGGACGGGAAATGAAGCCGGTCTTCCTGCTTGCCTGTCAGGTGTGCTACCATTTCACCACGGAATTCGAGACATTTTGTCAGGCCTCTCCATGTCATCTCAAATCACTACAGTCGTTTGCGCAGCGAGCACTGTCAGGCTGTACATTTTGATGCAGGGAGGAAGCATTTGTTTCACAACGGAAAAATGCTCCGGCTGCAACTCACACTGTAGCACCAGTGAGTACTACACAGAAAAGCAACTAAAATTCGATGGTTAAATGACCCAATGCATTCAGAAGATGTTAAAGTGGGCTATGCCCTGAGTCATGACTCGCCCAGTTAGATCGAGTCACAACTGAATGCGCCCACTGTAGCACCAGTGAGCAACACTTTCAGAGCCTCAGGGTAATGTGGTGGCGAGGTATTTTCTGGAATTAGTCGCTAGCATTGTGCCGCACATGTACTAAATTTCCTTTGTGGCTTCGAACAAGTTCTTGGAAATGGTTCGTACTGTTTCAGCATCATTGGTCTCTGTACTACATGCTAACGCTAATAGCACATGAGCTAATCTGTCATGCAAGAGTATTGAACGTGGTAGGAAGACAAAATCAGCAAAGTCGTCTTGAGTCTCATGAAAACGTGCTAAACCGTTCACAATGAACGATTGTGGCAATCAGCTGGAATATCGTGATGATGGTGTTTAGAAACAGAATTTCCCTGTGTACTGTAGGCTATAAATGTATACATGTAATGAAGCGGTTTAGTTCTGAATGGGAAATGAGATGAACAAATGATTGTCATGGAGACATTATGCTCAGACGGTTAAAATTTCCACCTATTAGACGGCCAGCGTAGCGGCCGCAGGCCGCTCGTACATTAAAAAAAAAAGCATTGAAAGATTTATAAAATAATTAAGAATATAATATGTTTGAAAGACTTTGAAATATTTCATCACTCAAATCACAAGAGTTTTCATCAGAAGCTTTAACCTGACATTCATCAGGTATTTCGGGACATGGAGATCTTCCTTCAGGACAGATTGAATAAGTCCAAGGAATTGTGCAAAAGCACTTGGGTATTGCAAGTCTTTTAAGTAGTATGCACCCACGAGAATGGCAACTGCTCTCTCAATGGTGCAGGTCTTCATTAATTTGAGAAGCTCATTTTTGGCAGTCAATGACTTTCTCCTCCCTTCCAAAAAAAGACCTTTGGCCCAGGAACAACATCACCTACAATTGGGCCTCTTTGAAAAAGCAATGAAATAGCAAATTTAATAAGTTGGAAGTATTTTGCAGAATCATGAGAAATAGAGACAACATTCATGTAAACATAGACCAAATTACAAATGAAAGTAATGAAACTTCCTGAGATGTTTTTAAATATGTGATGATAGGAAGACAGGAAGGAAAAAAAAAAAGGATTTAGCTTACCATAGTGATCACCTCCTCAGTTGCACCTTTGCTTCGCAAATACTTTTCCACAGTTGCAAGCTGTGCTGTAGGCATTTCTATCCTGTATCTGTCCAGCATACATGTGATTTTCTCCTCCATGCCATGCACACTCCGGCCCATTACCCTTGACACTTCACAGGTAATCTGAAATGGGTTTGAATATGTGCTTATATCAAACATTTACAATTACGTACCTTTGAAAATAACCACATCTAACAAACATCGGCATTAGAGGTGAGGGTTTTTTTTTAAAGCATTCTGTACATCAGTTATGAAGCACATAAAATTTCAGCAGATTAGCAGATACAGTTTCCGTCACACAGATGCTCTTAGGTTTAAATCTCATTGACAGTGTGGTTCATGGTATTTGTTGAAAGAAATTCAGCCCTCAAACTTTCACAAGTCTGTCAATCTGAAGACCATCTCAATCTCATTGTTATCAACCGCTACCATGATGTACTATTTCAAAAAATATATCAGCTTGGAAGAATCAGAAGAAAGGCGAGAAAGGAAGCCTCATCACAGTTTCCTCCACTAGGAGATAGTTGGGGTTAATAGTATATAGGAGAGCTTCTTCTTTCCTCCTCTTTGGGAATGTCACTTCCATCAGCATGTTTACTCCATGCATCATTGTGACACTTAAACTGCTTCCATCCAAGGTATTCTTCATTCTCTGCAGGTAAAAAAGGTTCATTGCATGTACAAGTTCATGCAATATTGATGCATCTAGAAAATTTGCAAGCTTCATGATAGGATGTAGGGAAACCTCACCCCTAGCTCAAGTAGTGCTTCATCAATTTTTGCAGGAAAGCAAAACTGGATGTTTTTACTTGCTTCTGTGCAGGATGCCTCTCTCTGAAGCGGGCCCTCCTGCGCCTTGCAGCAAGGCGTGAAATGAAAAAGTTCTGTAAAATAAAAATTGGAAGAACCTTAATAAAGCAAAACTGGATGTTTTTACTTGCTTCTGTGCAGGATGCCTCTCTCTGAAGCGGGCCCTCCTGCGCCTTGCAGCAAGGCGTGAAATGAAAAAGTTCTGTAAAATAAAAATTGGAAGAACCTTAATGCAATCAATTTTCTATTCAAAACGCTATTACATACAGTTTCCGGTAAAAAGTCATGATAGGATAGCATATCCAGGGATACTTCTGTGTGAGTCCTTCTTTTTCATCCCATTGAAGTTTTGGGTACCTCTGGCACAGAGCTCTTCCAAGTTCATGATATTGCCATCGTAATTTAGTCTTATTCCCAGAGAGAAGCAGAGAATTATTGCTAGAGGGAAAAAATTAAGACGTCAAAAAAAAAATAAAGAGTGGAAGCAGAACCATGACTCACTCCAAATGCCTCAGAAGTTCAGCCTTTAGATCAGAACTCATTTTGAATCTTTCCTTGGAATCCGTTTGAATTCCGCCCAGCAGAGCAGGTGACAAATTAGGCAGCAGACTCTTCCCTTTCAAATGCTCTACAGTAGCCTGCTCCTGATCTTTCACTTCAACAAGCTCTTCAGGAACAAAATTTTTTGGAGGTGTGTTATTTCCCAAAATATGTCCGCCATCGGTCTCTTTGAAGAACTGCTTCAATAACTTGCCCACTCTGATCCTATACTCCGAGGAGGATTCCCACTGTTTGAACAATTGACTAGAAAAACACATCCAACAAAATTTGATGATATACATAAAGCACCATAGCTACATGTGACACCAGAACACTCCATTCACACTGTTCCTAAAACAAAAACATGCCAATAAGCAAGCTATTCAAAAATCCAATAACCTCATAGAAGGAATGAAATGAAGGGAAAGAATTCTTCGGTGTTTTGAGGAAGACACCACGCTCCCTCCTCGGGCTTGCAAATGTGCCTCGACTCTCCCCTACGTCAAGCTTTTCCCTCATCGCTGAACGCGCAGATGAGCAACAATTAACATTTTTCCTACACCTGCCGGCTCTATCAGCACATTTCATGGTTGAGCTAGTCTATATCGTTGGTCCCATATTGCCGCACCGTTTTCATGTAGCGGTCTCTTCAAGTCTGCGTCTTCGTCGAGCCAAATTCCTTCCGAGCGTGCATGGCTCACACCGTGCCATTTCCATTTAGCAGCTTTTTCCGTTTAGCACTCTTGCCACGCTTGCTGGTAGCAGTCTCCTCATTTCCACTTTAGACCGGCGCCCACGTCAGGGCCGACGTAGCAGAAGGTGCAGAATTTTTATCGATGGAAGATGCTTAGTTTCACTCGGGAGAAGTATCAAGCTAGCACGCAAGCCGTTCAGGATTTAGTGAACCAGGAGAATCGCAAATAATCGCAAATAATGGAATGTTGGGTGAATTAAAGAGAAACGACCATAACTCTAATTTCCAATGGAACGGGAATAGTTTCCTATCTTATTGAGACCGATCGATTCTTCCAAAGACCTTCACCAGGGTCAATTTTTTTTATAACTACCAAAAAGAAAATATGTTGGCAGGTCCCTGAAACGGGTTGCAATGGTACACCACCACCATAATACAAAATGGTAATACATATTACAGAAACTCCCATCACATCTGCAGCTATCTTATATTTTGAAGAAACAGACAGGCCCTGCACTGGCGTTCTGCTTTTTCATAGAAAGGATTATATGCACTTTCGGCATTTTATTCCCATTCCCAAGAAGTGACCTTTCGAGTTTGAACCATCCTCCCTTCATCTTCCGAGCCAGAGTTTCTTGGAGACTCCTTGGACTGGGTTATCTCCTAAGACCGATTTGTTGAAGAACTCAAGCGTCGCCCCGCACTCGTCGACTTCTTTGTCATTCGTGATCGCTTCGAAAGGACTGAATGTGAAAGCGCTGACGAAATATCACGTCTTCCCGCAATTTTGGAATTCCGCATCTTGAGAGATGGACTTCCTTTGAGGAGCCTGTGTGAACGCAAGTGGCGACGAACTGAGGAGTCGTTCCGTATTTCATCGTGGAGGCTTGAAATCTCGATTCACGGCAGTAGGTGGGAGGCACTGCATTAGGTGATGCCACCGCGCTCTGACGAGTGTCACGGCAACTCTCGTCTCCACGTCCACCCTGAAGATGGCGAGAGGAGAGCGACTCTACTATTTCCCGTGAAGGTTGCCTCCCCCTCTCGTGAGACCGACTTGCAAACAAATGATCGCATAAGGAAGATTTAGGTGAAAGCCACCAGTCCATATCTCGAAGCGTTTAGCCTGTAGAGCTGTGAAATACACGCAGGACATTTGTCGCCCGGCCTAGCCAACGGTCAGGATCGCGCGAGCTGTATGTTTAACCTTTAACCTCCTGACCTTGGTTGCAAAGTAACCGATGTTCTAGGTTAAAGAATACAACATTTTTCCTCAAGTTTGGACTGACGTCACAGATATTGAGTAACCCAGTCTGCACAACAATAAAGACTCAACCTTGAGATGTGTTTCACGACGTTGCTGGCACGGTGATGCTGATGATCTGATGCATAGTCGACTATGACGCGATGTTGGAGACGTAAACATTGTAGGGACGTTATCCGATAAACAAGACATTAACGTTAGTCGGGCGAGGCACCTGGCGATACATTTAAACAAGCAAAGTTTCCTGACCCCGAAGTGAGATGGCGACAAATCGCAACACTGGGAGTTACGTCATATATGCAACCAGCACGCGTCCCCAGGTCCCTTAGTACTTTTGGAACGGTACTTTGTATTTTCTCCAAATACGACACTGGGGACGGTATTCCGTATCAATTCCATGAGACCCCTCCGCCTTTACTGGAAATAGATTTTGAATCTGATTCCACGGGTCGCGTAGGACGAAGGAAGTGACTACCTTTGACCACCTCCGATAATTCAAGGGTTAATTTGGTAATCAAATGGCGCATGTATGTTTGTACGGTGTTGAGACCCGTCTTATTTCAACGTTGGAGCAACGTTGTCTCAAATGTGGCCATGAATTGTCCGCGACATTGAATAGCACGTTGCATCGATATTGCTGTGTTGACTGGGAGGAAAACACGAAACATAGAAATCCCATATGTCAAGACCATAGTTCATTACATATCTAAATCTCTACTAAAAACAAATCAAAAAGCAAATCGAGTAGCAGTTAAAAGCCCACTCTACGCTTATTTTAACCTCGAAGATAACTCGCAATGTCAAGGAAGTAAAAAAAAAATGCATGCCAAGTCAACTTCTGGAGTAGCAAATTAAGCGCAGCATGCAATAATAGGATTTAATTTTTTTTCCCATGTTGATGGGCGGGCCAAACGACCATCCCAGGGTGATCGACACCCAACTCTTTACAAGAATGGCTGTTATAAGAGGTTATAAGCATGGACAGGCAAATCAAAATATTAATCAATAAATCTGTAAGTAACGAGGCAGTCAATGAATACATTCATGGATAGGTATATCTTCAGCGGGGTAAGCCAGTATTTTATAAACGGTCAACCTTGACCGATATGGATAGAAGTCCTTGGCAAGTCCGTACCCAAACCTCGAACCATGGACAAATAAATACGAAAAGCTTCCAGCTTCTTGCGACTGTATTTGCATGTCCGAACGATTCATTTCGGGTATTGTGCAGAGAACCGAATGGAAGAGGTCGGCGAAGACGTCTCCCATGGAGGCTTGATTCTCAGCGGCCTCATCCCTGGGGGATTCCTCTGGGGTTCACCCAAGCCGGGCCATCTGTCGAGCAGGACCGTCATGTCCTCCGCTTTGTTCGCCTCCAGGCTTTGGTAATTCCCAACCACCACCACCCACAGGTAGGTCAGGATCCCTAGGATCATTAATTTCTCATTTGTGCGGTCCATCATTACGTTCGTACGATCATTTTCTGCTTTGACGGCACCTAATATATATAAACGATGGTGAATGACTGACGCTAATTCTAACCATGTTCTAGACGTGATGAGAGGCTTGGTACACAAATAGCTGTTAGATTGCTGACTCCAGAAAAATTCCAACTTTGGGAGTAAGTGCCCTGGGGGCACATTCGGGGGGGGGTCTCATTTTGTTGTCATTAGCCTAAGTCTAACCCTCAGACGGACGCTTAGGCCTATGCCATTTTCAGCCACACACTTCCTTCAACAAACGGAAGGAACGTGAATAGCTGCTATGTTGTCGACTCCAGAGAAAGTCCAACTACGAATGCCCAACTTTGAGGGTCTATGCCCTGGGGGCATGTTTCGGGGAAGGGGGGACTGATTTTGCAGGCCTAGGCCGAACTCATGGATCGATGCTTAGGCTGATACCACTCTCATACATTTTCTCCCTTCAAGGGAACGGGAGGGAAAAGAAATAGGGGCTTATTCCATACAACAGATGAAGTGCGACAACGAACGTACTTGCCCTGAGGGAACTGAGTTAGCAGGTCTATAGGTAAACCTTGCACAGACGCGGAGGCCTACACCAATCTTGCCCCATATCGCATCGAGGAACTTCTCAGCCCATCTGACCGAGAATCCTTCTGCCTTAGACCTATGCCGTTCGGTCATAAGTGAAGGGTAGGACACGAGTTGACGCGTACCGATACGCTTGCAGATGCGAATGGGTTCCATTTGTTTTTCTAGCAGGGAAACTAGATGTTCTATCGACTTTTCGATATAAGGTGGCTATGTCGAATCCACTTACGGACGCTTACATGTACAACGGAACGGGAAGGTATATCTACGGGCTGCATTTACGGAATGACGCGTTTTTTATAGACAGCTGTATGGAACCTTTAGAAGAGTTTGAAGAGGGGACTTCCGTGTCCCCTTTTGTGTGTATAGAGATAGTGAAAGTGCGTATCTAACTGCCGGGTAATGATATTGTAGAATCATCGATAGCCCTTCGTGCAATTTGATACTTATGTCACGTACTCGAACGGGTTTTGCTATCCGTTTGTGACCCCCCTTCACGTCCTCTTTATCGGGCATGAGTCCGCCTTGGGCCGGAGGACTACTTTCTCCGGCCAGCTTTACCCTTAAATAGGGGAGGTCCACGATATTCTAGGATTCGCAAAGCGTTCTCCGGGCATTTCCGAGGTATTCGTGGATCTTCTACTCCGGCAGTGCAACTCTCACCTGCCATTTCTTCCACTCCTCGGCAATGCATTTCGAGTGTCTCTCATCACTTCCCGAAAACAGCAGAACCCTATGCTATTACCACTTCGTCCACGTCCTGGTGACTTCCACTCGGAGGATATTCTGTCCTAAAACTATTAAACCTTGTGCAAATGGTATCAATTGTATTTCCTTTCCCTACCATGCAAATACTGTTCACGTGAGGCTTGGCGCTAAACCCACGCCAACGTCAGCCTGCTACAATAGCGGCAAACGAATCAACGCTACCCATCTCTCAACGGTACCACAAAAGCCTCATACGTGACGAATCGCGTTTTTTTTCTTCAAAACGATGTGCCCACTCACAGAAGACGATGAACATGGCAAAGACGACGGAAGCATCCACAGCGACGTATCGGCGGAGCCCGTTGGAGAAGGGGGCGTAGTATCCCATGAGGGCCATCAGAACTGCCGTCACCAGAGGGTGCATCATCAACCAGGGCAAGTGGAGTCTCTTCACATTCTGTCAAATTCGAAATCCCGATCATCGATTTCGACTGGAGTTTGGATCGGGTCCCCGATATCTCAATGGCTCACTTTTTCAGCAGCAAAGAGGAGGAGGAAGGAGCTGATTGCATACAGGACCATTAGCACGATGGCTGCGGTGATCATCTCATACGTACTACGAGGCAAAGGGAGAATGGAAACATTTAATGTTGGTTGTCGAATCCGATCGGAAGGAATCGATTTTCTGGGATTCCCAATTTGATGAACTCGTGAATTCCTCATCTAAAAGCCTAAAAATGGCTTTTAGATGAGGAATTCACGAGTTCATTAAAAACATGAAACGCGTACTAGCGACTCTCATGGCCCAATGAAATCATAATTGCAGCATGCAAACACCGCTTCTTCGAAGCAAACGTCGGCGTCGGTACTCATCTCTCAAGCTAGATGTACCGGAGCATAAAGCTGATCATGTTGAGCAATATTAAGGGCCTTCGGTACAGAAAAACTAAAACGAAACAACTGAAAACTTTGAAGTTGAGAACAAATGATAAAG